TTCCTTCAGTTTCTTCTTTTTTCATATTGAGAAAAGGACACAAATAGTTCGTGTCTTTAAGGCACTAACGGCCGATTCGCCGCTACCAGAATATACGAAGTTATTGACAGTTAGTAGACAACCATTGAATCCTACTCAACTGAGTGGCAAACTGCACGTTCAGTTGAAAAAAGAAGGCCATATTAATGTAACCACTAACCGAGGATTTGATATGGATTTGAACTATGCGTAAATCTTCTCAGATATCACTTCAAATTTGAAGCCTGTCATCCGATAGGGAAATTGTTTTCTGATACTAACTCCCTCCTTGATCATCAAAAATTGTATGTTTCGGCGGAGTATTTGACCGCTAAAATGCAAACCCTCCAGTTGAATGAGTTTACCGAACAGATCCATGCAATAACTAAAAAGAACAACTCTATTGTAAAATTCATCCAAAAAACCTTACTTTAGCGATGTATCATAGCTATTGAGGAATCATATAGAACGAATTGTCTTTCTAACAGTCAAAATAACACCATTTTTATGAGCAAGTCCTCCTCAATGACGTATAGAAGACCACCCACTTCAGCAACTCATTTTCAAAGACGAAATTAAAATACATTCAGAACTTCAAAGGTGCGTTAAACGCTAGTTTACTTTAAAAGCGTTTGTTTATAAGGTTTCACGGTTTTTCAACCTTTTTTGAGGAGAGGTTTGCGCGAAATTGTTGATGATGCGTTTTCAATGTCGCCCAGTATATTTTGGTAATATAAAATGATTGCTATCTTTGAGATCAATGAAAAAATAAATGGGTTTTTCGATAACCGAAGCAGCAAAAAATTTCACGCGTTGTTGATATTTGGGAGCAATACTTGGTTTTGTTTTCTAATTTATAATCTAATTTTTCTAGAATATACAGTCTGATATTTTGACAGCCACTATAGACTCCACTCTAGACCATGACTTTCGAGACAGCCAACTTCTCCCAGCCAACGTTCCACTGGACTTTCAACCACCAACACCAACTCTACTGGAAACTACCTCTTCTGCTGCCCTTACTATTGTTCCTGCTTCAACACCGGCATCTTCACGAACCAGCACTCCATCGACCCTCGACACGACTTTACCTGCTTCAAAAGCTCCTAAATCGAAGCCATCACCTCTGCAAATTTCCTCCCGAATTTTCTAATTCCTTCAGTTTCTTCTTTTTTTCATATTGAGAAAAGGACACAAATAGTTCGTGTCTTTAAGGCACTAACGGCCGATTCGCCGCTACCAGAATATACGAAGTTATTGACAGTTAGTAGACAACCATTGAATCGTACTCAACTGATTGGCAAACTGCACGTTCAGTTGAAAAAAGAAGGCCATATTAATGTAACCCCTAACCGAGGATTTGATATGGATTTGAACTATGCGTAAATCTTCTCATATATCACTTCAAATTTGAAGCCTGTCATCCGATAGGGAAATTGTTTTCTGTTACTAACTCCCTCCTTGATCATCAAAAATTGTATGTTTCGGCGGAGTATTTAACCGCTAAAATGCAAACCCTCCAGTTGAATGAGTTTACCGAACAGATCCATGCAATAACTAAAAAGAACAACTCTATTGTAAAATTTATCCAAAAAACTTTATTTTAGCGATGTAGCATAGCTATTAAGGAATCATATAGAACGATTTGTCTTTCTAACTGTCAAAATAACACCATTTTTGTGAGCAAGTCCTCCTCAATGACGTATAAAAGACCACCCACTTCAGCAACTCATTTTCAAAGACGAAAAAAAATACATTCAGAACTTCAAAGGAATAATCATGAAATGGAATTAAAACTTTCGAAATTTCAAAACAATTTTGATGTATTTAAATTTATGATATGAACGATATGCTTGTGTAAATTTTTTTAGTTTTATGATACTAACCTTTGCTATGATTTTTTTAAACCCTGGCTCGAAAATAAGTCTAACGAGACTGTAACATCTGATAATGAACTTATAGAATAAAGATCACCGGTTGAATGAAAATAGCTTGGCTTGATTAAAAAGTATCTCGCTTGATTAGCTGCGAAAATTGGTAAAATGTCTGATTTTTTCTCTCCAAATAGGAGAATGAATATGTTCTGATTTCTTATTGAACCAAACATGGAATTTATTGTGCGCGCAAAGCGTGAACCGCCACTAAAAACAATCTGTTCATATTCTTTAGCAAAATGCATGAAAACCAATGCTTAAAGTATTTGGAATAAATCGGATAACGCTCAATTGGGAACAGATAAAACTCTATTCGTGATATTCGAATGTACGAGCGACTATCTCGAGAGATAACCAAGCTATAAAAAACTAACTTCTTATTTGCTACGACAAATTGACAGATTTCCCAAGAAAATATAAAAAAGCTGAAAACTACTGAATTTCACTTCAACCATTTTCTTAAAATCTCAACCAAAATATCTCAAAACCAACCCTTTAAATCAATATCGGGTCTTAAAGCAAACTTGTAGTAAACTTATATAGCTTGTGTTATAGAATGAACTATCTTTTTTTTTCGATCTAAGTTGTTTCGATAAAATGTGTTCATTTTGAAAGTGTTCATTTTGATTAATAAACAGCTATTTAGTACAACCAATGCTAAGGATATTAACACCGACTATTATTTTTCCGATTTTCGTAACGAAAGTAACGGAATATTTGTGCTCGGGGTGGCTTTTTTTTCTGAGAAGTTTTTTAACTAGCCATCTGTGACGGCTTTTTTTCATATTGTTTAAAAGGTTTGATGTCCAGAGCTTGATTTTGCAAAGATCTTTTCCCTGTGATCATTTTTCGTAAATTTATGGGGGTTTTAAAAATCGCCATTTAGTAAAAGTAATGCGCGATATATTTCGGGCTATTATCGCGTCAGCGGAGATTTAATCTGTCTTAGAAATCGTTCCAAATTGGTTGAAGGAAGCTTATTTGCCATAATTGATCTGTTAGTAAGAGCGAATTTTATCACTTAGTACTTTTTATGGCGTGTGGGGGATGATTTTCACAAAAGTCTTAAATTAAAAAAAAAATTCTTTTCATTTTAATTAACATTCATTTTTTTCACGTTATTACTGCTCCATAGACCTTAAAATGCACGTTTATGCATGTCTCAGGTCTTTCTCCCACCATATTTTGATTAAAAAAAAAACCAAATACTTGCTAAATTGGCAGAACATTTAAGACTTCGCCCTGATACGAGCAGTTTTGTTTTTCGAATAGTCTTTATCTTCAAGGTATCATGGATCTGTAGCGTAGAGGTAGGGAGGAGACCCGTAACAAAATAAGAGGGTCGTACCTTGGCAGGTTTGGATGTTTTTAAAGAATTTTTCGTATACTAGCTAAAATGCTTTCGCTCTATAAATTGAGGCATGTGCAAGTGGTAGATTTCTTTCTTTTGCAAATTGACTGGTACTGCTAATGCGTCGTAATTGGCTTGCGTCCCATAAGAAATTTTGTAGACTCGAATTTTACTCATTTAGTTTTCCCAGCAGCATTATCGGTCATATTTTTGCTTGTGTATGCGAAGTGCAAACTTCGCCTCTGTGTTAAATTTTTTCTAGCGAGTTGTAGATTTACTTTTTAAGATAGAAAAAAGAAAGGACCCTATATTACTAGCAAGCGATTTGTCAGACGTACATAAGTATTGCTAAACTTATTTGGAATCCGAAGGTATGGAGTCTTAGTTCTAAGGGGTGCATTGGAATTATAGAGCTGTGGTTGTTTGCTTGTTGTTTATAGTCAGCAGCTTACAGAAAATACAGAACTACGAAGTTCCCTGATAGTATATTGCTGTCTCTATATATTATGGTAATATATCATGGTTGCTATCTTTGTGATAATTGAAAGAATCAATGGGTTTTTCGATAAACGAAGCAGGAAAAAGTTTCACCCGTTGTTGATATGTGGGAGCTATACCTGGTGTTGTTTTCCCTGAATAAGAACAAATCAGACCTTTGAATATAAGATTTGACTTATATGACACTTTGTTTCCTAGCGCATTATTATACAAAAGGCTTAATACCATGAAATAGTTGAAAATAATGTTTTGTTTGTCGATTTTTAACTCAAGGGTGTTTTGTCCAGAGGAGCTACAATTGGTCTGAATGCAAATTATTATTTTGTAAAATATATTCCTGATCTAGACGACATTTAGGTTCTGTGAAAGAACACCAGTATACTTGGGACATGTCCTTAAACGACAACTTGGAAAACATGCCAAACAAGAAAGTCAAGTGTCGCTTCGACCGAATGTACTATATATCCGAGAAGCACAAGTCAGAACCAGGCACTTGCTGTTCATCGAAACAGCCAGAAGAAGCAAACGATCGGTTGGAGCTGAAAAGTTTTGAACTTATTGGAACGGAGAGACTTGGGTGTGGTATGTTTGCAAGCGATCATTTTGGGATGTTGGCAGAATTTAAAGTTAATTTAACATAGCTGATAGAGAATCAGTCAACGAAATTAGTGTGAGATAGTTTCGTGATAGAAATTTATGATCTGCTGCTTGAATACTGAATCCTTGAAATTGTTAGTTTCATTTACAGATTAGTGAATTTAAATTGTTTTGGTTATCTATATAATCAGAAATGAGCCTTTCGAAATATTGTTTGAATGCGAGCCTTTCATAATTCAAATGGTAGTATATTTGATGAAGTAAAACAACCAAAAATGTCCGAGACTAATTTTTTTTTTGAAAAGTTTATTCTGCTGTCTTTCCGTTCAGTATCGGAGGAGCGCTGCAGAAACTAAATTCGACCAAATTTTGGTTATGAATTTGTTTTTCTAGAGAAACTTGTTCCCAAGACGTGGGAGTTCGATAGTCGGCTGTATTATTTTTCTTTACTCAGAGAAGGAATTGAAAAGAAATGCAGTTTTTCATCTGAAGATTTTTATTTACTCCTTTTCATTTAGCGGCGTTTTTAATGTGCAGATAAAAATGTGCACTACTAAATTTTTCAAATGGCTAGAGGCTCAATTTTATCAAGTATTCTTTTCAGATAGATTTTGACCTCTCATGGTGGTTTTGTACCGCGTCAGTTACGCAGTTGAATTTTCTACTGCAAACTGCCGAGCAGTTGAAAGTAGCCACTCAAGTGAAGTATTTGGCCTTCTAAATTGCTCAGAAATCTTCGTGTTAATTTATTCACACAACCGCCTGTCATCATCTTGTTAGTCTAACTGTTGCAACTTTGCTCGGTTAGGTTCAGATTGGACAAGGTCGCATCATCAAATATTAGCTCTACTTTGATAGGCATCAGACGGAGTTTATGTTCATCAGTGTTCAGTTCTATTGATTCGTTTACAAGTAGGAGGAGTTACTTATTAACTGTACAACAGTCCCATTCATTGATCGTCGTAATACATCTGATTAGAAGAAATAGATAGGAATTATCTCCTAAAGAAAAGGAATTGAATTCTCTTGATCGATTGGAATCCCATAATGGTACTGGTAGCGGCTGGCTCTCCGCTGGACTGGCATGACAGTAAGCAGTACCTGGAGTGGGTGAAGATGGCGGGGTTAGAGCAGTTTGTGCACTTCTACAAGAAGATGGCCACTGAGAAACACCCCAAGTGGATGGAGATACTCCGATGGGGCGACGAGGTACGGTCAGCAAGTATTTCATCCTCTTTAATACCGCACATTAATTGCTGTTTAAAGCTCCCCATCATACATTTTTGCTTTTTTTGTATACCTCAGTGTTAATTTAAACAACCAAGCATACAATAGTCACAAAACAAGCAAGATGAAAACGTCTGAGGGCCTAGTTCCTACCTTCAAACTTCGAAGTCGACGACAAATTGTAACAAGGATAGCCGGTTACTGTGCAAATAGCACAGAATGTTCTGACCAGTCTTAAAAAATTTCAAATTTTTTTTTCCAATTAGTGTCTATTTTCGGCTTGGTGTGATAAAGGAATCTGAGCGAAAAAGTAGAGCTTAGGCGTTTTCGTCAGTCAGTGTAAAATATGCAATTTGGAAAACACTTTTTGAAGACAAATAACAAGAAAAACAAAAAAATCAAAAAAAAAATTTAAAGTTTTTTTCCCCAAGTTTTTGATTCCTAAGATGAAGCTAAAAATTCCAAAAGCTAACTTCATTAGAGTAAAACTAAATATCCAAGCCTGAAATTAAGCATAAATAAGTTAATGTAAGCCTGCTCATTCGCGCGAAATTAGACGAAAAATCAAAAATTTCAAACCGGTTTTTCTCGACACCGGGAAGACTTCTTTGAAATGTTTTGACGTTCGAAGCACGAGTGATACGGCTTCAATATGATATATCACTCAACCCAGTCCGATTATTATTTGTGGTAGCTGATTTTGCGTGGAAAACAAAAAAGACTGCTCGCTTGCTTTATTCGCTCGAATTAAGGCAAAAAATCAAAAATTTCAAACCGGTTTTTCTCGACACTGGGAAAACGTTTTGGAAATTTTCAAATGTGGCTCGAATCAGGACTAAAAGGCCTTTTATATGATAATCACTTAACCCAGTTCGATCATTATTTGTGGTAGCTGATTTCGCGTGGAAAACAAAGAGAAAAAACTAAAACACCCGAATACAAAATTCCTCCCCATTTTGAATGGTCGAAACAACAACCCATACCTGTGGAACGTTAGAGCGCCCGAGTGAACAAGACGTTCAGACTTACATACTATGGTCGTGGGTTCGAATCCCTTTCGGTCATAGTTTGAGGGGTGCTAGTCTCATCCGCCCGCACAACGTGGGACTGGCTACGATAAAACTGATGACATCTTATCCCCACACAGAACATCACAAGAATAATATCAATCAATATCAGTGATGGCCATTTTACTTTCAATTTATTTAACTGTAAAATTATGAGCCCACTCAATTGAAATTAAAACTGCGAAAAAATCCAAGAATGGCAAAAAACTTAAGAGACATCAGAAAAATTTAAATTGTTTTGGAAAAATTTATACAGTTTGAATTGATTGAAATAATAATTCTTAATAATTTGATTGATGCCAATAATTTCAACTATTTTCTTGAACAATTTTCATGCCAATAATTTTTATTCTTTTCTTGAAGTTTTTGTTCCGAGCATTGAAAATGGGGAGTACTCTGTATTCGGGTGTGTTTCAGTTTTTCTTTTTTTTGTTTTCCACTCAAAATCAGCTAGCAAGAATAATCATCGGAGCGATTTAAGTGGTATATCATATTAAAGACCGTTCAGTCGTGATTCGAACGACACTAAAAAGTTTCCAAAATTCTCCGTGTCGAGAAAAACCTGTTTAAAATTTCGGGCGAAACCGCCATCGAGTAACGTGCGTTATATGAAAATTACCTTCTTTAATAAAATTTTAAGCTGACAAAACTTGGTTTTAATATCAAGACAACTAGTGTTGAATGTTTCTTTCAGCGCTTATTTGACAATGAAGATTTTCAAAAAAAAACTATTATGCAAAGAGTAATTCCATTTGTTTGGTACAACTAGTGATAAAATACATCATTGGAGAGAATCGAGTGGTATATCCTTTGAAAGTTCTTTCAGTCGTGCTTCGGAAGACCTTAAATTTTCAAAAAAGATTATCCCAGTGTCGAGCTCAAAATTTCTGATTTTTAGTCTAATTCGGAGTGAGCGAGCAGGCTTAGAAAAAAATATTTTAAAGCTTGAAAGCTTACAGTTGCTAAGTTTAAGCGGTATAAACTTACTCGAGAAGTTAGTGTTGTTTAGTGTTGTAGCCCCTCTTTAAACAAAAGTCAAAAGCTCAAAAAATTGCAAAAAAATGTTTTTTGAAGTTTTTCTATTGTTTTTATGTTCATTTTTCTACAAACATTGTTTTCAATTTGTTTATTTTACTGTGGCTGGCGAATATGCCCAAGCTCTAGTTTTTCATTAAAATCTTTTTATCTCACCGCTCAGAAAAAGCGACTATAAATTGAAAAAAAAACTTTTTTGTATGTTTTTAGGATTATGGTAGGAACATTCTGTGCTACTTGCACAGTAACCGGATATCTTTTTTCTAAATGGACAACCTAGATCAATAGGTTTGTCTATATTAAGCTGTTTTATCTGAATGTTTTCTAATTGAAATTACATTTGAACGAAAATAGTATTTCACTGACGATGTATGAGAGACTGATTGCACTGAATAATTTATATTGTAGCATATTGCGCACTCTAACAATTAGTCAAGTATGATGATTATGTGACTGTGTTTCAGCTAGAAGGAATCATGGTGGAGTTTGACCATGAAAACAAACGAGTGAAGCTGATGCTGGAGTCCACTGAAAAATTGCAACAGATGAAAGACCTGTGAGTAGAAATCAACTCATGAGCAGTTTTTACAATTTTGTTCAGTTTGTGTTCCGACCATTGAAAATGGGGAGGAACTTTGTATTCGGGTTTGTTTTAGCTTTTTTTCTTTTTGTTTTCCACGCAAAATCAGGTTCTACAAACAATCATCGGACAGGCTTGAGTGATATATCACTTTAAAGCCTTTTCAGTCGTGATTCGAACCACATTAAAAAAATTCCTGTTTGATTTATTAAACAGGTATTATGAAAACTTTTTTTTTTTCCAGGTGAGATCTGGTTTTTTTTTTTTTTTTTTTTTTTTTATTTTTTTTTTTTTTATTATTTTTTTTTTTGAGACGCTTTTTCGAAAAATTCGCTTTCCCAAAAAACTACCCGTCATATTCTCATAAAAGTGGTACCAATGGATTCAGTAGCGTTTCACCTACCTGCCTTAGAAAGTTCCCCTACGGTCTTAGAAAAGCTTCACAACTCGGTTCTTTTTTCACTTTTTGCCCATTTTTTCGGAAATTTTCGATTTCCTCAAAAACGACTCATCCAGATTTGGGATTAAGGGTTTAATCGATAGACCAGGTTGTAGGAACCCCCCATGCACAAGCGGCTGGTCCCTAATTTGCTTAGGGGAAGAGCTATAGACTTAGGAAAAGTCACTTTTTTGATTTTTTTGCCTATTTTTTCGGAAATTATCGATTTCCTCAAAAACTACCCATCCAGATTTGGAATTAAGGGTTTAATCGATAGACCAGGTTGTAGGAAACTCCCATGCACAAGCGGCTGGTCCCTAATTTGCTTAGGGGAAGAGCTATAGACTTAGGAAAAGTCACTTTTTTGATTTTTTTGCCTATTTTTTCGGAAATTATCGATTTCCTCAAAAACTACCCATCCAGATTTGGAATTAAGGGTTTAATCGATAGACGAGGTTTAAAGAAACTCTTCCGCACAAGCGGCTGGTCCTTAACTTGCCTAGGGGAAGAGCTATAGACTTAGGAAATGTCACTTTTTTGGCCTTTTTTCAAATCTTTCCGATTTCCTCAAAAACTACCCGTCCAGATTTGGGATTAAGGGTTTAATCGATAGACCAGGTTGTAGGAACCCCCCATGCACAAGCGGCTGGTCCCTAATTTGCTTAGGGGAAGAGCTATAGACTTAGGAAAAGTCACTTTTTTGATTTTTTTGCCTATTTTTTCGGAAATTATCGATTTCCTCAAAAACTACCCGTCCAGATTTGGGATTAAGGGTTTAATCGATAGACCAGGTTGTAGGAACCCCCCATGCACAAGCGGCTGGTCCTTAACTTGCCTAGGGGAAGAGCTATAGACTTAGGAAATGTCACTTTTTTGGCCTTTTTTCAAATCTTTCCGATTTCCTCAAAAACTACCCGTCCAGATTTGGGATTAAGGGTTTAATCGATAGACCAGGTTGTAGGAACCCCCCATGCACAAGCGGCTGGTCCCTAATTTGCTTAGGGGAAGAGCTATAGGCTTAGGAAAAGTCACTTTTTTGATTTTTTTGCCTATTTTTTCGGAAATTATCGATTTCCTCAAAAACTACCCATCCAGATTTGGAATTAAGGGTTTAATCGATAGACCAGATTGTAGGAAACTCCCCCGCACAAGCGGCTGGTCCTTAACTTGCCTAGGGGAAGAGCTATAAATTTAGGAAAAGTCACTTTTTTGGCCTTTTTTCAAATCTTTCCGATTTCCTCAAAAACTACCCGTCCAGATTTGGGATTAAGGGTTTAATCGATAGACCAGGTTGTAGGAACCCCCCTACACAAACGGCTCGTCCCTAATTTGTCTAGGGGAAGAGCTATACACTTAGGAAAAGTCACTTTTTTGATTTTTTTGCCTATTTTTCGGAAATTATCGATTTCCTCAAAAACTACCCATCCAGATTTGGAATTAAGGGTTTAATCGATAGACCAGGTTGTAGGAAACTCCCCCGCACAAGCGGCTGGTCCTTAACTTGTCTCGGGGAAGAGCTGTACACTTAGGAAAAGTTTTTTAAAAGTTTTTTTGGCATTGGAACAAAGATTCAATATACTTATTGTGTGTATTTTTTAGACAATGGAATCCGCTATGCTTACGTTTTCTCGCTTTTGCTTGGTACTTCTGGCTTTGTGTTGAGTTTTTTGTATGGTTCGAAGAAGTCCAACGAAAAGTTGCACGAGTTACGCTAGTTCTCTTTAATCAGGTCGGTTTGTTCCAGAACGTTTTTGTGATGTCAGTTATAGTCAACATATTATAGTCATATTTGCAATGCTTGGACAAAAGCGTTACCAATGAATGCATAAGCTTCTCTTTCACTTTTTTTTGCGTAGGAAGGGCGCTATCGACTTGAGAAACCTGAAATTTTAAAACAATTTTAAAATAATCAATATTAAAATAATCAAACAGGTCTCTCCAGCTTTCAGCTGGGCCCCTAGTTTTCTAGTGTCGAGAAAAACCGGTTTGAAATTTTTGATTTTTTGCCTTAATTCGAGCGAATAAAGCAAGCGAGCAGGATTACCACAGCTGAATTATGCATAATTTATGTCCTTAAAACTTAATTTTAAGCAAGTAAAACTAGTTTTAGGAATTTTTTAGCTTCATTTTGGGAACCAAAAACTTTTCAAGTTTCAAGTTTTTTTGTCCAATTTGCCTATATTGCTATGACTGTCTAACATGTCTAAATTAAATTTTTACGTCAGATCTTTTTATGACACCAAGCAGAAAAACTACACTAATTTGAAGAAAAAAACTTTCTAAACCGTAGTTTTCTAAAGACTTTGGTCGGATATTCTGTGCTACTTGCAAAGTAACCGGCTATCCTTATTTGGTTTAAGAATGAGAGTAGGCCGCTAATAGATACGTTGTAACATTTGTTTACACGTGCTGCTATTGTCAAGTGGAGTTCATATTGAAATTAGGAACAACTAGTGATAAAACACAAGTTGAAGCAAGTTTATAGCGGTATGCTTATGCGGATTTCTTTTAAAGCTTGTTGTTTCTTAATGTGAGGTTGTTTTGATTTCTAGTGGCAATGGGGCAATGTTCACTCTGGAGTTTGCAGAGTATATGGTGGAGTGTGTGCCTGATAAGCCCTACAAGGGTATCATCAACCACCTTAACACCGTCGAGAGCAACATGCGCAACAGGTACTGAGCTTTTCAAAAACATTTCGGAAAACAGGACGTTCACCTCATTTCTTGGAGCCATTATTCTATAGATCTATCTTGCGTCATCCATTTCTTTCATCCATTAATTTAGCTCAATTAATATAGAATGTAGTAGTTGCATGTTAGATATGGGCTTTGGGTTCCTGTTAAGATTTTTTTTTTCTGTGTCGAAATATTCGCTATAATTTCGGCGCTGGAAGAGGTCGGCTTTAATTTCGTCGGCTCATTTTCCGAATAGTTGTTTTTTCGATTAACTTTCTTTGGTTTTGTGTGAGAGTGATTGACTTCTATTATGAAATTTCGGAAAAGTTTAAATCAACCTTCTAGACTCTTTTAACAAAAGTGAATAAATTAAACTCAAAAAAATTTCACAAAGTTTTCTTAATTTCAAAAATTTTTAAACAAATATTTCGACATTTTTTCAATTTTTTGTTTTTTTTCTCAGTTCAAATAAAAGAATTGGTTCAACTTTTTGTTGTTTTTAGTTGTTCGATCGGTGGTATCCATCGCATTCTTTTTAGTGCTGTTAAAATAGTTGATTAGTTTTTGCACAATTTTTGTAAGTTTTTTTCGAGTTTTTCAAGTTCGATTTTTTCTCATTGGATTCTAACCCTTTTTTGGAGTTAGCCATTTCATTTGAAAAACGAAGACCAAGCAAGCCTGAAGTCTTATCAAATGAGAATAAAATCTACTCGAAATTTTTGGTAATTTTGTTCAAAATTGCTAGACGCATTTGTTGTCTTACTCTGTCAACTTGAATTCTATCTGCTACTTTTCCTGATCAAGTTATTGTATTCTCGTAGTTGAAAGTAGTTTTCATGTCTCAAAATTGTAACGAAATAATTTTTTTTTGTCAATTTTAAAAACGTTCAATTTAATTTCTTTCACTTCCAGATTATTTTGATACGTTCCCGAACAAATACTGAACAAATACATTTAAAACACCAGGTCCGTTCCTCTTTGGCCAAGAAGTAACGTGGGTCACCTTTGCACCCTACGGTCTTTTTCCCGTAAACAACTTTTCTTACAAATCTTATTTGCTTTTCGTATTTGCTTTTTTATTGAAGCTTAATAATTTCCAGGTTTGTTCCCACTTGACCTGGAGGAGAAGCCGTTGTCTTTGGACACAAAGGTCGGGGGTATGAGCCCCTTACGGACCCAATTTTTTCAGTATAAGTGCAGTATTATTTTTTTCCGGCGAAAAGTTTCGGCGTAGTTGCCACATTATGGAATTTGATTATGATTATGCTGAACGCAACTTTCTTTGTAGTTGCAAGTGCAAGTGTTGTTCAATGTAGTTTCAGAGGTACAATTCTCGGCTCAATTTTTTTTGGCTCAACTTGTGTCTGCTCAAAAATTGTCGACTTTGTTTTCTCTTTGTAAGTTTTGTTCCGTTGCTATTTTCATATTCAAATGTTTGATCTATTTGCCTAGAATGGACTTCTGTCGAGAGATGCGAAATATTAGTTTTTGGTACACTTAGTTTTTCTAACATTTTATATTTCTACTTTTTTATGTTTGTGTTGTCTCGCAAGTGATGCGAAGTTCAGGTTCGACTCTGTTTACGAGCTAATTTGCTTCGTTTTATTGTTTTCGCTTCGCTATTTCTGTTGCTATTTGATTATTCAAATGTTGCGCGTGTGTTCTGAGGGGAAGGGGGACTAATTTTGTACTACGATTTTTTTTCGGTATGAAGGGGATTCTGCTGAGGCCTTTTCTGTTTTAACGCTCGGTAAGTTTTGTTCTATGCTAATTTTGCATTCTCTTGTCTTGGCATGTTTTTTTTCAAAACTATCTTCTTTCATTCTGATTGGTTGATTGTATGTATAGTTGTAAAACATCGATATTGCTTTTTTGCTGCTGTTTTTTCGGCTTTCGAATTAGCTCTTGGTTTAGTTTCCGAATTGTGAATATCACCTTGATTTCGGTACCTATATGCCTTTTGCGGGTACTATTCGGGCAGTACATATATATTTTCCAAAAAGGTTTTGCCGAACAATTTTGGTTGATTTTCAGCTAATTGGCTGTCGGCTTATTTAGGTAAAATTTTGTTCCCTACGAGTTTCCGATACTATTTATGAGATGATTAAAATTTTGGCCCCAAATTTAAATAATCGAATGCTCAAATGCAACCCCACATGAAACTCTAATTAATTAAATTTTTTTGTTTCTTGTACGCTTGCAACTTTCGAAGTCCTCTTTGATAGTTCTTGAGTGTCTTGTTGCTCGAATCCTTTACTTTTTGTACCGCAAGTGGTGCGGAGCTCAGCTTCGCCTCTGTGTTACCCTGTTTTCGCACACCTTCAATGCTTTTTCTAGGCGTACACTGCTCAACTCGATTTTGAAACCGAACCAGTTCTACTTGTGGTATCCAACATTCCCACTGTAAGTAATCAATTATAGCCACGAGAGATCAAATGCTAATGTTTTTTTAGAGTCTTATGTTTCAATTTTGGCTTTGTTCCAGCCTAGGCTGTCCGGACAGCACCATTCCCCATACGGAGGCCTCCCCGGAGTCCAACAGTGAGAGCTCGATGTCTGTTTTCATCAGCGATCAAGTCATCTACTCCAGTCATCCCAGGTTCAGGTGAGTGTTCTTGTGTTGCATTGAATGATGATAGATGGGATGAAATTTGGTTACAAAAGTTTGAGTTTGAGTTTTTTCAGCTTCTCATTGCCTCTTAGAAATAGTTATCATTTGACACTTCAATATGCGTCACTTTGATTTCACTGATTTATATCATCTCAGCCATTTTAATGGAAATTAAAAAAAAATACTATAGGACTAATACATCATCCATGTGAATGAATCTTTCCAGGAATTTATCACCCTGTCCAATTTAACATTCCCCAAGTTATACCATTGTGTGATTTTTTTTATTGGAATGGACTAGTTTTTATCGAATGATGATAACTTATGTTTTAATTGCAATGCATTCTGGTGTGTCAAAAAGATGTTTTCTTTTCACTGATTTGAATGCAACAGCATAGCTGTGACTGATCTGGTCATAAAATGTATGCTCATTTGCACTCACAAGACAATTAGTCTAGTATAATTAGTTTGTACAGGCTTTTTAAGTTTTTTTTTGGTATGGGATTTCAAGTCTCGCAAATAAGTGAAGAAAAAAGTAAAGATCATTGCGTGTTTTCAGAACTCTGTCTAAGAATATCAGAAAAAGGAGAGGCTCCAAAGTTGCCATCAACATCCCAGTATTCAAGGACAAACACACCCCATCGCCCTTCAACCAACCCAACATACCAGACTGGGATGGGGGAGACGCGAGATCGGCTGCAATGACAGACCACGTGTACGGGGATGCGATGGCGTTTGGAATGGGCTCGTGTGCTCTTCAAATCACATTCCAGGCACAGTCTGAACAGGAGGCTTGTAAACTGTACGATCAATTGGCAACGCTGACACCTATTTTGGTTGGTCATTCTTTATGTTCTTTGATCTTCAGTTTGATTGATTGTTATACGTTTTTTTTTCACAAAGTATTAGAATTTGTTCGCTCAATTCGACTGATTCAGGTTGGTGTCCAAAAATGGATGTTTCGTAAGATAATACCGAGAATTCCTGGGTCGAATCCTTAGGGGGAGGAGTTCGAACCCTTAGGGGGGTCGTCCACCCTAAAATTTCCTCTTTTATGTCCGATCCTTAAATACAAATTTGTTTCTTCTTGCTATCTAGCAGCAGATTTGGTGGTTTAGATGGCTCTATCTGCCTCCGCTCCCATCTTCAACGGATATCTAGTGGACGATGACGTCAGGTGGAACATCATCTCACAGTCGGTGGATGACCGAACTCCTGTCGAGAGAGAAGAGAAACAGACTACCACACAACAGGTGATGTCGATAATGTGGAAACGGTAGTGGCGTTAGGTTTGTCAAACAATTCATATCAAAGCTAATTCTGTTTATTTCTGAATTGAAAATTTAACCAAAATGACATTCCTAGCTGCACAAAAACTCGTTCCTAAAAATATCTTAGCGTGGACTATCTGGGCTTCGATTTTCTTATTTAATATGAATAATATCGCTAGAATATCAGGAGTGTTTCAGGATAAAGGTGAAAATGAGCATATGAAGGTTCCGAAGTCACGCTACAGTTCGATAGACCTCTACATATCAGAGAAACACCAGTGCTTCAACGACATCCCAGTGCCTACCAATGAGAAAATCCGACAACACATGCTCAAAGAAGGCAAGAAGCATACAATGTGCAGTATGAGAACTCTCTGCAGTACTTAATTGTCAGGAATCTCGCCGCTTCGGCAACAAAAGTCCACTTCCTCATACCCCCTTTCACCCTCCGAACTTTGAAGGGACCACACTGGGGTTTTTAAAAGCATAAAGTTTTCACCCAAAATTATAGAAAATTATTCTGTTTTTAAGCGCTCCCAATAAAAAATGGTTCTGCATTAAGTTACCAGCTTCTTGCCAACTTTTTTGTTAGTAGTTGTAAAGGTCCTCTGTATTAGCGCCTCTCGGTCTGCTGATTACTTATAGAGTTTCTCTAAATTCTTCAATTATTCTAACAATGATTAGATGTTATCTGAGTCCTATTGAGATATTCATAATAACTAAACCACCGTTTTAGGCATTCCGGAAAACATTGCGAACCACGTAGCCCATCTGTTCATTCGGGATCCCCTGGCTATCTACAAGGAGATGGTGACTGGACAAGCGGCTGAGCCACAAAACTACCTCCTCCACACAAACCACTTTGAAGTTGGTCTGATAAAGTTAACGTGCATATCTCATTCAATGTGTTAAGTGCTATTAAATGAACCAGTTTTCACTCGTGTATGTTGTTATATAGTGAAATCTTGAACTTTCTTCACGCTCAATTTTTTTTTATGGATTGACTTTTGAGTCTCTTTCAGGACGTTGTTTTTTTTCTACGCCAGGAAAAGACTTGGCTGTTCGCACTCAAGTTTGTTTTTTATCGCGAGTTGGCATATGTTTTAAGTTTGATTCAAATTCTTTTGCTATACTGAAGAAAAATTACCCTCTCCAAATATGAAGCGACAAATTGTAGTGGGATTTTGAAAGTGGATTTTAATTATCAAAAAAATCTATTGGTGCAGTTTTCTCAAATTGGGTTAGTTAGACCAAAAAATATTTAGTCTTAATAATATTGATCTAAAAGTTTTTTTGTCATAATGATATTGAAATTCAAAGAGCTCTTATGGGGATGTATTTTCCTTTTAAATTCAAAGTCTGAGTATATTTATTTGAAAGAAAATTTTTGCCACCAATAAAAAAGTGGAAATGATGCAAATAAGGGAGCCTGACTTTCCTTTTAAAAAGAAAGTTTTAGTTTTTTAGATTTACCAGCAAACGATCTGAACTTAACTATTGATTAAATTTTTCAAATTAAATTTAACCGTAAATTTTTCAGCGTAAAAGATTTTACAAGTCACGAATTTTTCTATGAAATTCGAAGTCTTGAGTATTTTCGAACAAATACTCGTTTTATTTCAGGTTCCTCCTCGTTCTTTATTTTTTATTAACTGTCTGTTTGTGTTCGAAGCTATTCGTCTACAAGGTAGCAAAACGTTTCCTAAATTTGGAGCTCGTTTTTTATGTAATTCGTTTTGTGTGAAAGTATAAATAAGTATGAAATTGTAAACCCAAGCGAGCTAGCAAGAGTAGTGTCGTATTAGGAATTCCAATTATTTCAACGCAACTCGGAATTAAAGATGGAATCCCTCATACGCGAAGGAGCGAATGCGCGAAAATAAAAATCTGCCAATCAGATTTCAGTAATCTAAAATTTGGAAAGAAACAAATATTTTTAGGGAATGAGTATTGATTTTGGCCGAATATAAAAACGGCAGGAATATGCAAAATTTCCAAAAGGTCACTGATGCCGCCGAATCGCAACAAATTTTATATTTCAAGAGTTCGTTATGAAAGAAGCGAAATATTGCTTCATTTAATTGAATGGCAATTGCTTCTTTTTAAAATTTGACTTTCGGCTAATTTTGTTTTTCAGTCATTCGCTCACGAGTTTTTTCGCGCATTCGGTCTTTCGCTCATGAGAATAGCCCCCTAGCATAAGCATTTAAAAAGCATTTTTTGTTTTGCGGTTGTCAAGCGGCAATGGCACAGATGCGGGAACTTAATCTTCAAGCCTGGGTTCGATTCCTAGAAAAGCCGAATTCTTATTTTTCTAGTTTTACTTGTTTATTGTTGGTAGTTTTAAAGCCAATTTTACTCCTGCGATAGCAAGTGTTTTGTAAACTGGAGCTAGACTTTTTCCCCATAAAAAACTTTTCTTACAAATGTTATTTGCTTTTCCTACTTGCTTTATTATTGAAGCTTGATAATTTCTAGGTTTGTTCCCCTTGTCATTGAGGTAAAACGGCCGCCTTTGCACCTTAAGGTCAGGATTTTGAGTCCTGTCCGGACCCTGTTTTCTAGTATAAATGCAGTTTAATTTTTTCTGGTAAAAGGTTTCGGCTTAGTTGCCATATCACTTTTAAATTTGAAATTTTGGTAACCTAGTTTTTCTAACATTTGTTTACTTTTGTTTTCATGTTTTTGTTGCATCGGAAGTGATGCGAAGTTCAGTTTCGCCTCTGTTTACGAGCTAGTTTTCCTTGTTTTTTTGCTTGCTTTTGCGAAGTGCAGCGTAGCCCCTGAGTTAAAACTTGAGTCTTTGTGGACTCTGAGTCTACAAGGTAGGAGAGGAGCGTATTATGTTTGCCTATGAAATTATGAATATTTGTTGTCTGGTAGTTTTTTTCATCTGGCATATTTTCATTTTTGAGCAAACCGTTTTTGATTTGGTGTTTTATATCATACCATCTGACTGATATTGATACCGCGGGCTCAAAATTGAAAAGATATTTCATCCGCGATTATTTCATTAACGCGGAAGTTATTGAGTGGCAAGCTAATTATTTTTACGAACGCTTTATTCCTTCTTGTGTCTTTTTTACAAAAACGATTATTCCCACTTTTTGGCTTGGTTTGTCTTTTTTCATTTAATTATAGTCTTTCATTTATGTATTTATTTTCATTGAATCATAGTTCGATCATTCCTTTTTGCTGCTTACGCTTTATACTATTTTGAGCGTTGTTTTCCATTTTGAATAAAAACTGGGCCAATTCTTTGATGAAAAGTTGATTTTTTATTCGTTATTTTTGAGTTTGAGAGTTTCTGAGTTGATTTTTCTTATTCTTTCTTTTATTTTTTGAAGTTGCTTCACGATTCTAAAATGAGTTTTCTATCGTGGCATCTTGTGTTTTTCACAACCTCCTATCAATGGTTATAGAAGCTTAATTCAAAACTATTGAAATGGGGATTGAGGTTTTCAAACAATTTCAAACACAATAATCAGATAGATTATCAACTACAATTGAGTCTAGTTTGTTCAAGCGAGATTCCGATGTAATTCTCTTCTTGTCGTTAAATTTACGTCTGTTTAAAATTATATTTATATATACTACTTGGACGTTAAAAGGCATTCGGAAAATTCAGGACTTCGCCTTTTGTTTCTCATATAGCTTACCTTCGACCTGATACGGGGGCGGTCTTGGTTTCTCTGAAAGCTTAGTTCTGTTTTCTTGAATTGCTAGAGCTTTTCGCTGTTTGTGCTTGCAAAGTGCAGCTTCGTCGCTATGCGGAGTGTTTTTAGGTTTTATTGGAAATGCATTAGATAGAATCTTGCGATGTGTAAATTGAAGCACGTTGAGCTACAGAAAAAGTTAAGGCATGTTTGTTTTGATTAAAAAATTCACCGTTCTGTGTTTCAGAACATCAACTCGACAAATTGGCAGTCGATGAGGTTCAAACTGCCTCCGCCCGATAGTAACATCGGATGGCGTGTGGAGTTCAGGTCAATTGATGTAAGGAAGACATCAATTTCAAACTTGCTACTCGATGTTTAATGTTCAAAATCTTTTTTTTGATAAATGCCACCCTGTTTTAGGTGCAAGCTACTGAGTTTGAAAATGCCGCATTTGCAGTTTTCATTGTGCTACTATCCAGGGTTATTTTGACATATGACCTCAATCTTCTCATTCCTATGTCAAAGGTAAGTCACATTCATAGCTGCCGCTTTCTCCAGAAAATTGTTGAGTTATGTTTCAGTTTTTTTTCTAGCTGGAAGAGAATTTCAAAAATGCCTCGAAGCGAAATGCGGTTTTGGAAGGGAAGTTCTGGTTTGTCAACTCTCTGAAGTGTGAAGGTGAGTTGGATGTTTTTTATATAAAGGTCGACTGTTCTCCCCAATAGAAAAAAAAATCAACTGATCCTGTGTTTGTTTTTTTAATCAAATTGGCATATAAGTTCTCGGACAGATTTAAAAAAAATTTTGGTCCGAAAACTTTTCAGATAGTAAACCCTAACAGAATTAAGCAATCAATTTGATAATTAGCAAGCATCATACGCAGTTAATGGCAGTAAGAAGGCAAGTTGAATTCTAAGTGGCAGCACCTAAGTTTGGAATACGGCTTAAAGTCTCTCTCATGAACTCAATACAATGAAGACAGGGATTGAGATCGTGAGAGAATCCGGGTTCCGTCGATGTTGAACTGGAGCAATAAGGGATCATCGTGTTCCACAAATTGGGTTCCAGGGTTCAATGTCCGGTCAGCAGATCCTAATTGGCGTGGCTGCCAGCGGAAACCTTGGACTCTGTAACGTCGGAAAAAGAGGCGCGAGTCCTCGCGTAGGTGAAGTCGTGAGGGTATAGGAATGAACTCGGCTCGTGTTTCGCTTGGTTTTGTTTTTCTTTTTGGGAAGTCTGCAAATTTAGTGTTAGAAATTACATGATACAATCAATTTTGTTTCTTAAAAAGTAACAAGAGTAGCCGTTTGCTTGCAACTAGGACATAATTTTCTGAAAAAAAAAGAATTGAATTGAAAAAAAAAGAAAACGTTTGCGTTCGAAATTTTTTGCCCCTTATCTTGGGTAGTAACATGAAGCGATTGAAATAAAATTTCTATTTATGTAATAGTAGCTCAACTTGCTTTAAACGTCTGTGAAAACAGAATAGGAGTAAGAGAGATGCATTAAAACTTAATCAAGATTTTAATATAGCCCTCTAGATGACTTACGGGACTTCTTGGAGTAACTTAAACTCGTGTAACAAACCACCTAAAGTATCCTAGGTAACTCAACGAAAGCTTTTAGGTGATCGAATTGTTTATAACATTGAAGATCATTAGTTTTGAAACTCCTGATAGCTCAGTTCAACCCGAAGATGGTAGTCAGTACAGTACGATAACTTGCTCATTTCATAAAGTATGATGTATAATTGAGGGCATATCTTCCCAGAAATTAATTAAAGTTCTAGGCGAAATTAGGACTAACCTGCGGCAACAGTTTCGTGAGCCGGTCGTTTCCCGAGATATCTGTCTGGTTTCCAGCAGTTGTCGTTGAGTGTCTTGAGGAGCCTCGAATACGTGGCATCACTGTCAACCTCGCTACGCTTTAACGTCTTCAAAAGTTTTGGCATTTCTTGACCGACTGTCAGGTTGAAGTTATTTTAGACAGGTTGATTAAATTAGTTGGTGCTTTCCAAAAAGCTATAAATAAGCTATTAAATATATTGTAAAATAGTTTTTAAAATGAGTTTTTTTATTTAGACTATGTTCTTTTTTCGTTGATTTTTATGCTCTCGTCAAAAATGATCTTATGGCCAACGACGAAAAGTAATGAAGAGAGAAGTAAGATTGAAGTCTGGACCGAACAAATACTTTTTAAGTGGAGTTTAAGCAGTTGTTTTTTTAAGTGGCCCGCTGAGTGCTTCTTTTTGCAGTTAATCGACTGGAAATTTGAAAATTAAAGTTCGATGGTAAAGCTTTTGTTTGAACTTTCAGTTTGCTGCTGGTAGTCTATGAATATAAATTGACGTTGTCAATGAATTTTCCTTTTGCCTAACAACATGCCAGTCTACCTTGAAACAAAAAATCCGATGTTTTTTGAATGGATGAAAATTGTAAAACCGTATCTAGGAGGCTCTAGGATTTTTTAATACCGGGAAGGGTTCAGTAGCGGACCTTGGATTTTCTCGAGGGTGGGAGAAACGGAGGCGGATCTTCGAAAACATATCGACCTTTTTCTACATTCGACCAAATTGGTTTTCCGAGCACTCTCAGAACCTTAAAAAGACCATGTTTTGACCAAATAATTTAGCGCAGCAAGTAAAGTTTTGAAAACAAAGGTCAAAAATCCCTTTTTGGGTTTTTTTGAAAAATATTGACGAAAAATTGCGTTTTTTTCAGCGCGCGCTCGCCTTCAAAATAATGTATATTGGCGCCTTTACAAAAGTTTTTGGGTTAGTCGGCCTAAATTGGATGTCATAAAATAATACCAAAGGGGGAACCTTTGGTTGTTGAGAGGGTCGAATCCTTGAGGGGGGAGGGGGGTAGCGATCTTTTTAAAGCGCGATTAAAATCGAATTTTCGAGCACTCTAAAAGCATTTAATGACCCCATTTAGTCAACATTCTCTCCGCCGCTATCAAATATTTAAAAAACAGCTCCAAAATGCCCCCTTTCGGAAGGGCCTGACCAACGATTGCGGTTTGTTGAAGCGCACTCCCGCCTCAGATTGTTTTATTGGGTACCAAAAACTATTTCAAAATTTTATTAGGGTTGGTCCACCAAAGTGGATGTGGTAAAATAGTCCCCAAGAGTGAGCTTTCTGGGAGCATAACAAATAATCGATCGATTAGTATATGCACAAAATATTTATTTTTCTAACTAATAGATAATTGAGTGTTTCTCACGTTTGAACAGATGAATTTCTTAAGTCAATCTGGAGTATTTGTGATTGTAGATGGAAAATGTTGCTACTTCCTGGGTAACGAGAACGCCGTAGGTGCAGAATTCTTCGAAAATGGAACGGAAGCCACAGTAAACCACTCAAGCAGTGGCAATGTTGAAAATGGAGAGCTACTTAAGAAATGTTGCTGCGACAAAATGGACATCAACACTATCATGAATGGAAAACCGACAGGCGAGGTAAAATGCTCATTTTTATGATTTCCCAGTCTAAATTTGGAAGCATTCTGGTCTGTTCGGAAAGATCGCATCTTTTCTTTGAACTGAATGCAAGAGCGTAACTGTGACTGATCTGCACATACTATGTATGCACATTTGCACTCACAAGACATTAAGTCAAACTCAGCCGAGAGAAAAACAGTAATATTAGAATAAAACAATGAAGATATTTTTTAATTATGAAGATGTTTTGAATTGATTCTTCCTTATCCAGTGTACTGACATCAAGTCTATTTTAAACAAGATCATCAAAAAATCAGAACACGAAAGAGCTTTAAAATAACTGACGAATTTGGATTATGTAGAAAACATGACTGGTGGCTGACTAATGAGCTGGATGACCTGTTAATTGATCTAATTGTTTTGATCGCATAAAAAGTATAGAGGTTGACCTTTCATCATTCGTATAATGGTTCATTTGAGCCCATCGTTTGAATATGGAGTATTGTTTTGCTGTAGTGTGGGTTCAAGGGTCTGATTCCGATGCTGCAGGACTACCTGAATGGCATGGAGGACATAGACGTCCTCACCAGGTGTTCCCTCTCCAGCTACTTCTCACTACTCGGCAAACGCGCATCAGGCAAGTCAACTAAAAAACACTTCTGTTGATTGATTTTGATACTCGATCTAATCCAAGAAATTTCACGTCTGGTTGTCGCCTCTCACACCCGACAATGAATGTTTCCATTTATCATGACGCGTTCTATCCCAGCTCGCTTATTTTGGTACTTCGAGATCCCAAATCAATTCATTTTAGATCTTATACAACATTGCAACCACTGATTACACTAAAATAGTTGAGTATAAATCTGTTTCTGGTGATTTTTTTCTCAATAAATTTTTGTGGTTTTCCTAGGTAAATGGGAAGGTTGCATAGGGTAATAAGCTGAATTAATACAGCTAAAACATCGCACTGAAATCAGGTTAATCGTTTCCTTGGATTTCTAATGAACTTTTACTCCAGGTGAACTAAAGACATGGGCCAGCTGGATGCGACAGTTTGTCCAGTCGCACCCTCTGTACAAACAAGACAGTGTGGTGACCCCGGAGATGACCTACGACCTCATGTGGAGATACAACCAGATTATCACTGGCGAAATTGAAGATCAATCTGTCCTGTTCAAGCTTAAAAACTCCTCACAACTTGAAGTGAGCAAGGCACAGCTCAAAGCCCAAGACAGATTAGACGGATGCAATTGTAACGATGACTAGATTTGGCGCAAATATGATACTTGGTTGGGTCCCTGGAATATGGATAGGTCCCTGAAAAAACCTGCTTTTCAAGCGGAACCAATTATCCTATTTGCTTTTTAGATTTTAGAGGCTAACCTATTTTTGTTTCAAACCTGAATTGTAGACATATATACATGGTATACGGCTCTGTAAAGATATTACTTACATTTACATGTCAATATTCGTTCCCGGAGAAGAAAGTGAAATAAGAGTTCTATTCTTTGTATTTAGATCTATCCTAATCAGGAAGAATTTTTGCGGCTTTTTCTGAAATTTGGCGCATTGATTTCAGTATTTTCAGCTGATTTGAAGGCTTAAAAAAGAATTTAAAATCGTTACCTACAGGTCTTTGTTGATTTTACCCTTTTTACTTGCATCCCTCGTTTCTTTGATCTTTGTCCTGTCACAGCCCAATTATCAAGAAGCGAATGATGCTTTACATTACAAGACAACGCAGCAAAGTTTGTTTTCTGTGATCGTTTTATGCACAAAATTTGAAATGATAATAGCGGCAACGGTCAATATTTCTGAAGCTGGGTTACCATTTCTCAGCAAAAGCCTGAAATTGGCTCTTTTTGATTTTTCGGCATTAAAGTAGCCTCTTTGGCTGCACCGAAAATAATTCTTCCTGGTCATAATAAATCTCAGTCTTTAAAGAAAATATTTTGAAAAAGTTTGGAAGAAACGTTTGGAAACTTTGTTGATGATGAAAATAATTCAATTATAATTCAAAATTTTAATTGCTGTGGTTGCATTGTTTGAGATGCAGTGCAACCACTTGAAAGCTCGATATAGTTCTTGGGACTTCAAAGAAATATATCAGGATCACCTGTTTAATTTCCCCTTTTCATGCTCCAACGATAAAATTATGCTCCAAGATAAATAAAAAAGACAAGATGCTGGATTCTGATTAGCAGAACGTAAATTTGTAAAAAAAAAAAGCGAATGAGAGCTAACTTTTAATGTAATCTAGCAACGAATTTACTCTGTGGGTTCAATACAATCTGCTGCAAGTTTTAAACTTGTTTTTTTTATTTCGCTTTCACTAAGTGTCATCTTATTATTTGAGTGCCGGCGCTGATCTTGACTCAGGAAATAAGCACCACGAGCATACTGAATTGATAACTTAGTTTTTTATTATGCTTTATCATGCTATTTGATCGAAACATCAGGCGAGATAGAACGCGTAATACGCTCAATGAATTTCAAAACTCGAATACATAATCCGGTTTTCGCTTTGAAGGGACACGATATGATTTAGTCGAAAAACGTGAATTACAATGCAATTAACTCAGTCTAAAATTAATGCCATGAGTTCCTTTTTGTTTGGAAGTTGAATGCAGACATTGGGGATTCGATCCTTTGATGCTCAAATGTATAGTGAAAAGCTATACTTGGCGACATTGAAAACGCGTCAGAAAAAAGTTGGTTCAATTTTTCCTTGGAGTAAAAGTTATTGAATTAATAGTGAAGTCTTTTAATTTTAATAGTAAATCTTGTGATCACATTCCAGCTAGTAATTTGCATTTAATTTCAAACCAGAAAAAAAAGAACTTTTTCAACTTGATTTCCACTTATGTCTTCAAAATATGTTGTTACCTATCAGAGCAATCTTGTGGATTTGAAAATAAAATATTTTTGCTCATCGAAAATTTACAGTTCCATTTTCTGCGTTTGTTACTTCTGCGTTCTTCCATTTGTTACTCGATCGTTTTACTTGCTCAAAATGAACTAAAAGTCAAAATTTTAAACCAAATTTTCTTGTCTCGGGAAACATTTCAGGCTCAAATTTAATGACTTTTAGTTCCTTTTCATTTCAGTTCATTTCGGGCAAACTCCACTATTGAATGGAAAAGGTGCAAAGGTCACCAAAAAGGCATTAGTTTTGCAAGCGAAAAATTTTTTACCTATTGATCCAATTTTTCCATATTGGGTTAGTTTTATCAAAAAAAAGGGATCAATTGAGCAATCTCCCCCCCGTAATGACCAATTGAGCTATCTCCCCCCCCCCCAGCAAACACGAATAAACTCTACAAAAAGACATCAGCAAACGCAAGTAGATGGATGATTTGTTTATAGCAATCAATTGACCGAACGAAGTTTATCTTACATGAGTATCGAGAAAATTTTGAAAAAAAATCGAAATTTATGAAAAAAAAATGTTTTTTTTTTGCAAAATTTTGTTTAGGCGACCATAGCCTCATCGAAAAACGCTGGTGCTCTAGACTTGTATCTGAATAGCATAAACGGTTCTCCGCAGCACCTTAATATTGTTCGCAAAAAGTTTTTTTGTCATTTTAAGAAAGAAAAAAGTCGCTTTTTATGCTTGTTTTATTGATTCTTTTTTCAATCTAAATAAACTTTAGAGCTTTTTCATCGTAAATTTTGGCTTTCCACATTCGTTGGAAAATATGTTTTATGATTTCATGTCATTCAAACTATTTTCAAGTGGTTATAAACATGCCTCAAGTACCTATTGAGCTATCTCCCCCCCACGCGAGAATGGGGGGGAGATTGCTCAATTGATCCAAAAAAAGTGACAATCATAAATTGTTCTAAGTTATAAAAGAGCTTTGAGGCCATCTATTTTTTCTCAAAATTTTGGAAGTTGAAGTTTTTGCATAAAAACATGTCAGTTTTTTTTGTTTAATTGCGTTCATGACTCTTTTCGAACTGTCTGTTGGCTATGTTTTGCTTTTCAAATTACGGTTGTCAGTCAAATAAGTAATTGTTTCCTTAAAAGAGGTTAGCGAACATTGCTTAGACAAAAGGTTGTTACTGATTGGCTTCAGTAAATATGTAAGTTGGTGGTGGTGGACTTCATTGTGCCTAATCTGCATAGCTGATCGACAAGAGACCATTTTTGTTTTGAGGCCTTTTTTTGCTTTCAGATGTTATTATGTCATCTGATTCTGATTTGAAGTTCACCTTCACGATTGACGATGTGAGAAAGCAGCTAAAGATACTAGGGTACAATTCAGTCCCAGATTCCAAGCTAGCTGAGTTCGCTCAAGGTAAAATATTAAGTTTGGATTTTAAAACTTACAAGAATTCGAAATAGCTTTCAGCACTCAAAATGTAACGGAATCTGAATGTTGTTTGCACAGTCATTATATTGGTCAGTAGCTTTTTCATAAAATATATATTTTTCAGACCTTAGGAAATTGATAGAGTATGATCAGAGGAAAAACAAATGTCCAAGTGCATCAGGAGATCATGCTAACACATCATCAGTCTCAGGTGAGTTGTTCAATTCGTCTTCTTGATGCCATACAAAAAATAAGTTTTTGAACATAATGGAGATGTTGTGTTAGCTTCGATTTTGACCATAAAGGGTAATTGTAGTAAACATACATGAAACTCCATAGCTAATAATAGTCTGCCCAATTTACAAACAATCTCGTTAAAGAACAACGATAGCCGGTTGCTGTGCAAGTAGCACCAAATTTTTACGACCATATTCCTTAAAAAAATGTTTTTTTTTCCGTTTCTTTTCATATCAGTGTCTTTTTATGGCATGGTGTGATCCGAGAGCTATGCAAACCCGTAGAAAATTACTGATTTAGACACAATCGGCAAAATTTTTCTGCGAAAAATGAATAACAAACAGAAAAAAACTTAAATTTTTCTTAAGATAATCTTTATTGACAAGAAAGCACTGAGTGAAACATCCAAAATTTTTATATAACGCTTGTTACTCGTTCGCTTTACTTGCTCAAATTGTATTAAAAGTCAAAATTTTAAACCAGTTTTTCTCGGCACAGGAAATTTTTCGAAGTCGTTCGAATCAGGGTTGAAAGGGCTTTAATTTGGTTGATCACTCGATCCATTCAGGTAATTATTCGTGGTTCCTGATTTTGCGTGGAAAACAAAAAATAAAGAAAAAACTATAACTGCCAAAGTTCCTCCTTTAAAAGGATGTGCATCTGCCTAGGGTGAACTCTAATGGAAAGTTTATCAAACGTAGATACATTTTTCGAAAAAGGTTCGAACTCTGCCTTTGAAATCGCCTAGGAAACAAATTTTATTCTTGTTTGTACTATTAGGCAAGACAGGGACTGACGCAGACTGTTCGTCCACTCTAGAAGAGAGTCAGATCAGCTATGACTCGAAGGACGGAGGTGACAGAAGAGGGGGGGTGGCAGCCTACTCCTCCTCCCCTGAACAGCACCTGCACGCTCGCCATCATAATGCACTAAAGACGGCTGCGGGGGCACAGGGTCAGAATGGACAGCCCAGAGACAGGTCCAAGAACAGCAGGAAGATGAAGAGAGTCACGGCTCCGAGGTATAAAACAATAAAATATAATAAAAAATGCAATTGTTGTGCATTTTGTGAACCTCTCAATGGGCCATGTGGTCCGTTTTCTATAACAGAAGCAGTCTTTATTGATGGGTTAGCATTGTGCATGTGGTACTTCATAATTGTATATGTATAACCAGGGGCGGATCTAGGATTTTCTCGAGGAGGGGGGTGGGGCGGATTTTCAAAAAAATTTCGACCTTTTTTTAGGTCGACCAAATTGATTTTCCGAGCTCGCCTAAAGCACTAAAAAACGCCGTTTTGGCCAAACAAAATTTCTGTGCCGCAGGCAAATTTTTGTGAAAAAAAGAAACAGGTCAAAAAAGCCGTTTTTGAGCACTTTTTGGACAATTTTGACAAAAAAAATCGCTGTTTTTTGACGCGCTCCCCCCCCCCCCAAAGTTAGAAGTACCTAAGGGGGACCCTTTGGGTCAGCAGGAGGTCGAATCCCTGAGATGGAAGGCGTCCCCCCCCCAATTCGCCCCTGTGCATAACTATCATATTTTAAAGATGAAAGTCCAAAACGTTTCATGGTCAAATTACTCGACAACATTCATTACCCTTAAGTATTGTTTAATTCATAATTAGATTAGTTTCATGCTCTCCGTCACTCTTCTTTCCTTGATACTAATCCAATTATTGATTTCAACGATCCTTAAGGTTAAGAATAGTGGTGATATTGATATACAAAACATTTTGGACTTACTTAAGTCATCAAACAGGATAGCAAACTGCAAACTTCGGCGAAACTGGTTCAGCTAAGAATAGAACAACTCGGCCTTTTAAAGTGGCGTTTGCTCCCGTTGCCGTATTTGACGAGAAGCCGTGACTCAAATCAATTTCAACGTGGTTTAGTAAATGACGTTTTCGTGCATTATGTTGCAGAAAGTCGGCTTTCAACTCCTCTTCTGTGACTGGAGCCAATGACCCATCTGTTCTGGATCTGGACAGGAGTCTGACTGGGGGAGAGAACAGTGAGGAGAATGAGGAGTGGAGACAGCTGTACCAGAGGGGTCTGAGTGCAGTGAGTGAGTGCAAAAGACCCCAGCACTACTACAAGCCACCTTCCTCCGCCAGACCGGACTTGGTTAGTCCTTGTCTTTTGAATGAAATTATGCAACTGGAAATCATTTTCAGTTCCCCCTTTCATTTTTTCTGAAATTCGATTTACGAAAGCCTGATTTAAAGTGACTTTCGATGTTCTAAACTGTAATAAAGCATGTCGGCGTGAACACGCATATCAACATACCTAACGTGTAAATTACCGAATTAACTATTTTTATACACTTTTATTAGTGTGATTTTACGAGGGGGTTGGAGCCGGGAAAATTAAAAACCACCGAAATTATGCATTGAAATAAGAGAATTCTGAAAAAAAAATTTAGTATCCACAGAGACCGTCTCACGACGAAAACAAACCATTCAACCCCCACCTACCTCGCTCCTTCATTCGCCCAACTCCATCACCCTCCTCGGCTTCTCATGTGACCAAGACCTCAGCGCGTGCCAGAAGTTCGGACCCTTCTCATTTTCATGCTCCACCCAGTCACATTTCGGGAGGGGAGAAGAGAAATGATCCGGTGTCTAGATTCAATGCGTATAATGAGGCTTGGAAAGAGAGAAAAGCGCCAGGGGAGCAGAATCGGAACCAACTCAGGTGGAGAATCAGGGTAAGCGAAAGCTCCGAGAAATCGATTAACGTGGAAAGGCCTCCAGATTTAGTAAACGATATTCTTACTTGAATTGAAAACTGATATGATTAATAAATATACTAGCAATTCTACTGAATTTTCACAAATTTTCATCTTTGCTTTTTAGGAGCAAATGGCAGTGGCTGAAGAGGTCAACAAAAAGGTGAGAAGACGAAACAAACTGAAAGCAGATAATATCTAGAAAGCTCAAAATAGAACTCACTTTAATTATTGCTGGTCTCTGCTGGCATTTATTTTGCAGACTAAGCCTGAAAATTTTATCCTTAAACTTATTGTTGAGCTATTCCCAAAGCTTTCGATAAACTTGTTCGAAAGGAGAAGAACTGCACCAGTGGAGAAACTTGCCTAATAGCGTAAATTTATGTTACCAAGAATATATTAGAAATTAGAAAAATGACGATTTTTGTTTCAATTGTACTCTTTTTTTTCAAGGAGTGTTATAAGTAAATTTGTCTTCTTACTTTCTGTGGAATAATCTTGTACCTAAAACTAAATTATGTTTAATTGAATTCAGTTTAGAACAATCAAGATATAGTAATATAAGTTGCTCGTTTCAGCGCAATTTGAAGCCGCCAAGTAACCCATATGTGGTGCCAACTGACAAGAAGAGACAGGACTTACGTTGGGAGGTCAGGTGTAATCTGGCTGCTCACAAACCAGGAGCCAAAAACACTCAATACTACTGAACTAAACTTAAGTCACGTGATGTATAAAACCATCACGATTGCCTATTTCTAAATGTCGATAATTGTTACCCAATATCATCTCGGACTTTTTTATCTGTTCGCCGAAAGAATGAGAAAGTGTTACGTTTCTGTCTCGAGATGAGAGTAAGCCATGCTTCGAGGCCTGAAGTTTTTTTCTTTTCGAGGGTTTTACCTAAGCTTAAAATTTCAATCGCGATGGATTGTAATACAAGTGCTGCTTGGTTACTATGAGTGCCTTAATTTTAATTGCGTTTTCCTTGTGTCATCGTTTTCCATGTGCCTTTGCAAAATGACATTATTGTCGTACTTTTGTAAATAGTTGTCAATAGTTTTACAATTTTTAAATAATTGAAATAAAAGTTTGTACAGTGCGTAACTTATAGGGAGATCCAGTGTAATCTCCTAAATAAGGAAAAGAAAAAATTATTGTTATATAAATTGGTAGTATCAAGAAAAAGCGACAAATTTGTACCAAGTGATAAATAGTAGCTTAAAATCTCGCCTGGCGTTGGGCGAGCGCTGGCACTCCGATAACTACCAGGAGTTTCTGTAAGCAGTTCGGCTTTGATTGCGATGTAACCAGTTAAAGACTACTAATTGTTGCTAACGCAAGTTGTCGCTTTTTCGATACAAAAAATTTAGTAATTGGAGAGAGATGCTTTCATCTTAGCGAGAGTGCAGACTTTTTATTTGCGTTTTAACTCTACGGCTATGAATTAGCTATTCTAAAAACAACGTCTAGAAAAATCAGTTTTAATTTTTAGCGTATTTGTTTGATTTTTTTTACTCAAGCGAAACTGCTGGTACAGTGTTAAGCGATTGGTCTATTTATTTTGAGCGCGAGTTAACATTCTTAATGTGCAAATATTGTACAAAGGTTTTGAAAAGAATATCGGCCCTGAAACAAAGTTGTTGCTCTCTCAAAATCGTAATTGCGATCTGCAGATGATATGATTCAAATCAAGTTTTCAGACATGTTGGAGCTCGTTAAAAACATACGTTTAACAGATTCAATTTTTTCACATGACACTCAGAACAAATCCACATGATATTGGGCTTAGACAATTTTTCTTGTTACACAAGCAATGCTTGTGTTATAGTATGAACTATCTTTTCAACCTAAGACGCAAATATTGTTGCGATAAAACGTGTTCATTTTGAAAGTGTTCATTTTGATTAATAACCAGCTATTAAGTACAGCTATTGTAAAGATTTTAACACCGACTGTTTATGTTCCGACTTTCGTAACGGAATATTTGTGCTCGGGGTGGCTTTTTTCCGAGATATTTTGATATTTTTTAACTAGCCATTTGTGACGGAATTTTTTCATATCGTTTGAAAGGTATTGTTGTCCTGAGCTTAAATTTGAAAAGATCTTTTTCCTGTGATCATTTTTTGTAACTTAATGACGGGGTTTAAAAATCGCTCTTTTGGTCAATTTGGAAAATTAATGCGCGATATATTTCGGGCTATTAACACTTAAGCGGGGATTTAATCGGTCTTAGAAGTCAATCCAAATTAGTTGCAGGAAGCTTATTTGCCATAATTGATTTGTTACTAGTAGCGAAATTTATCACTTCGTACTTTATATGGCGTGTGGAGGGATAATTTTCACAAAAATCTCAATTTTTAAAAAAAAAACTTTCATTTTGTTTTAATTAATATATATATTTTTTCATGTTATTACTGCTTCATAGACCTTAAAAGGCAGTCAGAACATTCAGGACTTCGCCTTGATACGAGCAGTTTTGTTTTTCGAATAGTCTTTAGCTTCAAGGTATCATGGATTTGTAGCGTAGAGGTAGAGAGGAGGGGTCGAACCTGGGCAGGGCCGGATGTTTTAGAAGAACTTTTTCGCATACGTTGATTACATCATTTCGCGTGGGGTGTTAGAACAAGGGAAATTTACTTTTTGTTTGTGTCGTTAGAGGGCTCTTAGCTTCAGGATTTATCAGAGGTATTCTCGTTCGAAAAAAGTGACGGCATGTTTGTGCTCGGGTGGTTTTGTTTCTCCGGATTTTTTTCGATTCTTTTACTAGCAATTTGTGAACGAATTTTTTAATCATTCAGAAGGTATTGTTGTTCTGAGCTCAGTTTCAAAAAGTATACCACTTGTGATCGTTATTCGTATAAGTTTTGGGGCTTTCAAAGTTGGCAATTTGGAAGAAACAAGACTGCTCGTATATCAGGGCAAAGCCCTGAATGTTCCGACTGTCCCTTAATTCATATCGAATAGTTTTTGGGAAATGAAATTATTGAAAACCTATACATTTTGGACAATATCAAAGTGTAAAATTTTGAGTCGTACGAGTATAATACGACCAGTTAGCTAGCCTCAATTCAATTTGGAACGAGTTTTTTGTGCGGGATAATTCGCCTGGCATAAATATTTCGCGTTACGCTCTCAGCATTATGAACAATCTCTTCAAAGCGAGCATAATTTAGTCCAGAACGACAAATTTGACAATTTTCAAACCCCCAGAACTTTATTAAGAATAATCGGTGGTGAAGTATCTTTTTATGTATGAACTCAGGAAGTCGATATCTTCAATGGGGCACAAAAAGTTTTTGTTGAAAATTATTATTTCTACCGGTGAAAATTGACTGAATGAAAAAACCACACCGAGTGTAAATATTCCGTTTTCTTTGAAAGTCGGAACAATAAACAGCTATTAAGTACAGCCAATGGTAAGGATTTTGAAACAGACTTTTTTTGTTCCGAATTTCGTAACGAAAGTAACAGAATATTTGTGCTCGGGGTGGCTTTTTCGAGAAATTTTGGTTTTTTAACTATCCATTTGTGACGGAATTTTTTTTTCATACTGTTCAGAAGGTATTGTTGTCCTGAGCTTAAATTTGAAAAGATATTTCACCTTTGATCATTTTTTGTAAAGTTATGGGGGTTTAAAAAATTGCCATTTAAGCCAATGGTACAATTAACGCGCGATATATTTCGCGCTATTAACGTGTAAGCGGAGATTTAATCAGTCATAGAAAGCGTTCCAAATTGGTTAAAGGAAGCTTACTTGCCGTAATTGATTTGTTAGTAGGAGCAAAATTTATCACTCTGTACTTGATATGGCGTGTTAGGGGAATTTAAAAAAGTTTTCATTTCATTTTCATTACATTTAATTTTTTCATGTTATTACTGCTCCATAGACTGCTCTATAAATTGAGGCATGTTTGTTGGTAATTTTTTTCTTCAAATTGACTCGTAACTGCTAATGCGCCATAAGTAGCGTGCATCACTTAAAAAATTTTGTAGACTCAAACTTTTACTCATTCAGCTTTTCCCAGTAGCCTTATCGGTCATATTTTTGCTGGTGTATGCGAAGTGCAACTTCGACTCTGTGTAAAAAAATAGAGTTTTAATATACCTTGCGTTATTATGCGCCTTAATATCTTGCGGTCCTCTTCCTATTTGATGTAGAGGTAAAGTAAGTACCTGCGAAACAAAAAGGATAATTTTACTATTCCGACTCTACCTTGTTTATCTGGATGCGTAGAAAAATATTTAAGATAGATTGTTTCAAACAATTAATGATCAAATAATCTTGATCAATCTGCCTTGAGAGAAAATGTTGATCTTCATAATTCCGACACATTTTCGTTTTTCATATTTACGAAGATTTCTCGCTTAGCGATTGATTTATCTCTTCAATTGTCGCCTGCAACAAATTGTCGCAATACCACCAATTCAAGGTGCACGACATTTTTTTGCTTCCTTATTGCTCTAATTATTGCTTGAATTATCGCTATGATGCAATTGTGCAAGTATGTTTGGTTTTTCCTAGTGAAACATATAAAAACCTAAAATTGCTTTTAAACAATTTTAGAGATTTTTCTTTGTAAGTTTAAGATTTCGAATTAGGAAGTTTTTTTAAAAGTCAAGGCTTTTTTTCCTTCCCCCCACCTGCAAATTTTACAAGTTAAAATTTTGTTCACATGTTCGATTGTTATGAAAATTGACATACGGACTAATAAGGTTATGAAAAACAAATATGGTCTTCATAATTAACCTTGTAAACCACTCGTTACACCAGAAAATTGATGTTTGTGTAAGGTAGGTGTGGGGGATCAGATGTTAGGTAGGTGTGGGGGATCAGAAAATAAAATTATTAGATATTATTTTATCACTTGAATTTTCAGTTGACGTAGCCTTGGCATTTTTTTCTTCATTACTTACGATGAATTTTTCCTGGACCGCTTCATCTTTGTGAAAGTTGATTATGAGCAAAAAGATAAAAACTTTTTCCTTTTGGCATGTAGCAAAGTATAGCTTGCGTCATCGCGCATTGCAGTTTTTAACTGTTCTATTATACTATATATTATATATGCATCTAAATTGCGAGCAAAGAATTCGCAATAAAAACCGCACAATAATGTAAATAGGCAGAATAGAAAAATCCCCAAATTTCTCAAATATTCTATTTTATCAGAAAATTAAAAATATTTCAATTTTCTGAGGTTTGCAAATTCTCTCGAATGTTGGCTGAAACTGTGGGAAAAACTTGCAAACAGCGAACATCAAGTCAATTCTCATTTAGTTAAGCTTACACTAATCAACCAACGTTTAGGCGGCTGGCTGATTAGATTCTTGTTCTGATAGTTTTCAAGAATTTCAGATGTCCTTGTTCCAAATGTTCTTTTTAGGATATTTAGTATTCTTTCCAAATTGAACCCATTTTCTCCCAATCCTGCTTCCTAAGGGGCACTTTCCAGAACGCAGAGCCCAAACCCAATGTGAAGAATTTCGCGTCTCCCTACTTCGAGAGGCTCTCATCGACACGGGGCATCGGGTATGCGACCTTTATCGTTACCGCGTTCAAGTAACGAAAGTCACAACAAAATCTAAGTTGCCCCCTTCTTTTTAGCAATGACAACGCCACAAGCCCATGGGGACTTCGACGGCTCGATCATGTCATATTTCATTAACATTTCGATTTCTTTTCTGCATGCTTCTGTCTTGTGTGGGGTCATTCTCCTAGCTCCCTCCCTATGAGGTACCGAACCCTCTTCTATTTCTATCTCATGTTCTACAAAATTGCAGCAGCCTATATCAGCCTGGTGCTTCGAAAAAACCTCTGCGTTCCGATTCAATACCGATCTGAGCGAGTCTAGCTCCTTATCTGATATTTTGCCTTTCAGGTGCTCTATCTCAAGTAGGACCGGCCTGTTTGAACCTAGTTCTTTTTCTGTTGCTCTCTCAGGAAAAGTCGAGCAACTAGACAGCCCATCGTCTGTCTCCGATTTCATTGAAAACAACTTTTTAAAAGACTTCAATTCATTTATCCTCTTTAATATGCATTCTTGGTTGACGTGTAAAGAACATTCAGTTACTTCATATTTCTTGAAGTTCTCCACACTCTGA